ATAATAACAAAGAAAGAGGTCCAGCAGTGAGTAAGGTGGTTAAGTAAAGCCAGCTCTTCCCAGCTGCTACCAGGACTTCGGGCAAATTAGAAAAAGGCACCCCTTCCTCAAGACACTTGCCTGCCTTGTGCTAGTGAGTTGTGATAACCTTACAACTCCTGATAAGATGACTGGTGGCCCCAGGGTTCTGCAGGGCCCAAGGTGCACACCCAGAAGGAATGGCCCTAGTGGAAAACGCTGGGAGAAGGAACATTGCAGAGCCAGCCAGAGCAGGTGTCTGCATCGAATCAGGTCAGGTATGACACCCAGCGGTCCCGGGCAGGAAGGGATTTTGCAAGGGGGAGGGCTGGGCCAGATGCCCTGGATGATCTCCTTCTACTCAGAGATTATGCAATTTTTTTCTGGGTTCTTCCACCAACAACAGGGAACAAGCCGGCAACCTGCTCTTGTAAAAGCTTTGGCGGGAAACTTTACTGTCTCTTGTTAAGAAGGCAAGTGGCCCTCTCCAGAGGGGGTAGGACAACAACAACAAAAAAGGACCTGTGATGGGCAGAGCCACATCCTAGGGCAGGGCAGCGGGGAGGGCAGTGCGCTGACATTAAAACAGAGATCAGAAATAATATGGTAGCCAAGAGTTTTGAAGATGAAAATTTCCTTACTATTGGTACAGGTAATTACAAAGCTAGTTCACTCTCATGTGATCCAAATGCTTTAAAGATCTCAGAGCAGGTTATTATTATGCCCATTTTCCAGATAATTAAGCTGCATCTTCAAGTCCTCCAAGGCACATTAGCAACAGCGCTCCAGCTCTAAGCTATGGGGTTGTCTAACTACATCACCTTTATTCTCTTTTCATTTGCTTTAGCTGAATGAATGTCTTTGCAGCTTCCCAACAGGCTGTACAGGTGGACTCCCTCTGGGAAGAAAAAAGGAAGTTTTAAGAGCTGTGATGGGTAAGGAGCTTGCCTTGTTCTAAAAGAAACCAAGGTTTGATCACCCTCTGCTGGCCAAGCATAGTGATGGCAGCAAAAGTAAGTGATGGCGAGACTGAGCGAGGAAGATCCAGAAAGCAACCTTTTTAGAGAGAACCACGACCACCCTGCTGGAGGAGGAGGGAGGAAGCCCAGACCTGCAGTAACTAGCGTAGCTTTTCCCCTTCCAGACCTCTGCTACAAAGCGGGGTCTTTTTCTTTTTCAAACCAAATAATCTTTCAAGACAAGACTTCGTTGTACAGCAGAAACTAACACTACATTGTAAAGCAATTATACTCCAGTTAAAAAAAAAAAAAGACAAAAGAAAACCGAGTAATGAAGAGAAGGTTAAGTGGGAGAGTATAGAGGTCATTTAAATGAGGAACCGTGGACCCTCAGAGGGTCATTATACACTTCACATTCCAAGATTCAGAAGCAACTTTCAGACGATCATAGAACTGTTGTAGGTGGTCTTTGGGACAGTCACACATGGTAGTTTTTAAATATTTTGAAGGGCTGACAAGAACAACTACATGCATTTTGTGAGAGAAAAAGATCAATCAAGACTAGGATCAATGTGGGACTTCCTTGGCGGTCCAGTGGTTAAGACTCTGCGCTTTCACTGCCGAGGGCCTGGGCTTAATCCCTGGTTGGGGACCTAAGATTCCACAAGCCTTGTGGTGCAGCCAAAAAAAAGACTAGGATCAGTGAGTTGAAATTACAAGAAAGCAGATGTTTGCTTTTTGTTTGTTTGTTTTAATTTATTTTATTTATTTTTGGCTGTGTTGGGTCTTCGTTGCTGCACGTGGGCTTTCTCTAGTTGCGGCGAGCGGGGGCTACCCTTTGTTGTGGTGCGTGGGCTTGTCATTGCATTAGCTTCTCTTGCGGAGCACAAGCTCTAGGCGCGCGGGCTTCAGTAGTTGTGGCTCGCAGGCTCAGTAGTTGTGGTGCACGGGCTTAGTTGCTCCGCGGCATGTGGGATCCCCCCAGACCCTGGCTTGAACCCGTGTCCCCTGCATTGGGAGGCGGATTCTTAACCACTGTGCCACCAGGGAAGTCCCCTAGACGTTTGCTTTAATCGAAAGACCTTTTAGCAAGTAGAATTCTCCAAAAGGCAGGAACTGTCCTGTAATAAACTCCCTGCCACAGAGCTTTGCATGTTAGGAGACATCACATTGTGCATCCCCAAGACGACATGTCACTTAGTCACCATTTATTGGTCTCGTCTGTATTATCATGGACCACGTATTATTATGGACCATGTCCATAGTTATTTGTTTACATGTCTGCCAAGGACTATGTGTATTTTTCATTTTTCATTTTCTCCTTGTGCCTGAACCCAATGGCTGACACATTGTAGGTCCTTGGTTAGTGTTTGCTGAATGAATTCATTGGAAGAGTATGAGGTTCTTGTAAGTCAAAACTGTTCTGAAGAAGAAATGCAGAGCCACCAGCCACAATGGCTAACTTTTCCTTCGTCTGCTCTCTTGTGGTTTTGTCATGTGGCCATGGTTATATCAATAGATGATAATGGATCATGTAAGTTAACTTATTTTACCACAGTCTGATTTGGATGGGAGCATATTGATCTTTTTAATCTGCTGAGATATTGTAAGGACACAGGATTGAATTAGAGCATCTTGATTCTACTCTCAGCTCTGCTACTAATTAGCTCACTAGTGTTCCTCAGAGCTGACCTCTTCAGGCACAGGTGGGTTTCTTCATCTGAAAACAAGAACTTAACCAGCTTTTCCCTAAGGTCTCTCTTGCCATCAGTATTTTGCAACTCTAGGCCCTTTACTGTAGAAAGAACAATGGGCTTGGAACGGGAAGGATTTCCTTTAAGCCTCAACATCACAACTTACTGGTTGCATGACTCGGCAGAGATCCTTTTGTCTAAGAGGTTGGACAGAGCACTGCCAAGGCATCAATACATGTGTGACTCAGGAATTCCCTGGCGGTCCAGTGGTTAGGACTCCGAGCTTTCACTATAGAGGGCACGGGTTCAATCCTGCAAGCCTCACAGTGCGGCCAAAAAAAAACAAACAACAATAGCAACAACAACGAAACATGTGTGGCTCATAGAACTATGCAGGTTTCTGAGGTTTCTGGTTTCCCCCTCAGCCCAAGCGATTCTGTTCTATCTAGCTCTTGGCCACATTGCAAAAGAGCATGTGGGGTGGGAGTTGTGACTATTTTTAGAAACAATCTGCTACACACATTTATCTTCAATTTATCAATCCTTTGAAACATAATCCTGAGAATACTTACCCCTGTGAAATATTAAAATCTCTGTTTTATAGATCAGGAAACATGGGCTCAGGAAAGTAAGTAACTTCTCCAGTGTCATACAAGTGAGATGTGGGAAAGTCAAGATTCAAACTTGGCTCTTTCTTCAGAGTCTATACTTTTAAGCCCCTTACTGCCTCTGAGTTAGAAGAAGTCAGGATAATTGTTGTTTAAGGCACTAAGTTTTGGGGTAGTTTTTTATGTGGCAATAAAGAATTGAAACCAAGTGCTTAACACAGTACTGGCCCCCAGTAAGTACTCAGAGGAGGTGTGTGGAGGGAGTGGTAATGGTGAATGAATGCCATTGGGGCTGGAGGTGAAGGGAAAAATTAACAGGAGTCTAGGGCAAGCTGTAGGTCATCCAGCCCAAAAATTCACTCTGCAAAACTCCTGTCCTCCCCATTCCCAGGGCTCTTCCACTTCAAAGCAGCACAAGATGATGCAGGAAGTGGCCGTTTTTGAGCAACTCTCTTAGAAAGTCCTTCCTTGTATTGAACTTTTCTTTCATTTCCGTTCATTGCTCTTAGTTCTGTCCTCTGGGTCCCAGAAGACAAACTTCATTTTCAAGTGATGACACTTCACAAATTTGAAAACTAAGACTGCTTTGTCTCTCATTCTCCCCTTGTCCTCTCCTACCTAAGGTAAGAAAAATTCTCCAGATTCTCCTAGGTGGAATGGCATGGTGTTCAGAGCTCACACCTCCTGATGATTTCGTCATTTCTGGATGATCACTGGGGTTTGAACACTCCTCTTAACGTTTGCCACCCAGAAGGGGCCCATCTTAGACGTCTGACCAGTGCGTGGGGGAATGAATGAAACAAGACTGACTGTGTGATAACTGTTGAAACTGGTCAGTTGGTACATAGGGGACTCACTGTTGATCTTTTGTATGTCTTTGAATTTTGTTTTTTAATTTAAATGATCATAGAAAACATCAGGGAAAAACGTCTCATCTCTACAAATTTATGGTGCATTCAGACACGGTATCCCTGCGCAGGCACGTTGCTGTCCCTCAACATGTGTGCCTTTTGAGGGACCAGGCAAAAGCAAACTCAGTGAGGGCCAGACGGGGTGGGGCTGAGATCGAAAACATTGAGAATCTACAGTCCCGTAACCTGCAGTTGAGCAACAGCGGCGGGGGAAAAGGTAGGCAAGGACCTCTGTACAAAGTCCTGCAGCATCAGGAGCTTCTGGAAGGCGGCCTCAGAGATTTCTGCCCAGGAAGTGTCGAAGCCGCAAAGCCCCAAGGGCACAGCTACTTCAGGTGGATGCCGCCGCCGGGCATCTGAGTGTGATAACTGAATCTCGGGCTTCGTGGGCTAAGCGTGGGGCTCTGTCCAAAACGGGGACCGAGTTCTCACGCGGTGACCGACCTGAGGGTCACAGGGGAACGGGCCTCTGAAGTCCACGAGGAGGACCGAGGCCGCCGCGCCGAGCCCACGCCTCTCCTTGGCCCGGGGCGTCGGGGGCGGGGTGCGAAAACCGCCAAAACTTCATCTGGTCGACCCCTCCTTGGTTAAAAAAAAAAGGAATGGGAAAGAGGTCCCCGCCTGTTCACGTTGAGAGGGTGCCTCCACTAGTCACTTTCGCTCCTCAGCCTCCCGAGGAACCGAGACACCGAGATGCCAAAAAAGACCTCCCAACTTCCTAGAGGGGCCTCTGCGGCCCCGCACAGCTCTCCGCGGGCGGGGCTATGACGCACTTCCGGCTGCGTCGGCGGCGGTGCGCGTCGAGGTGTTCCAGCGGCCCGAGAGGATTTTACTCACGGTGAGCTTCTCGGTCCCCGGTTCGCGTGGCGGGCGGAAGCGGGAGTGTTCGCCGAAGGGTGCGGGGAGAGACGGGTGGGCTAGGCAGCTGTGGCCTGTGAGGACTCGCCAGACTAGTCCTGGGAGGGTGGTGGGAGGAGCCCCCAGTCCCTGCCCAGCCCCAGACGGCGGAGGCGTTTGCTCTCTTGAAAGCATTCCCCCCCCCCCAACCACGCACACCCCCAGGGGTTTAAAAAGGTGAAAGTTGGTTTCTTTCGTGTTCCAGAGCAGTTTTTCTCTGCGCTCCCTGAGCCGAACGGCCCGTCAGTCTGAGCGGGGCTGCTTTCTCTTTTTCCCTGGCTCTCGGTAGGCGGTCCGAATTAAAGGCTAATTGATAAGAATTCGCCCGAGGGGGTTGGGGACCTCGTGTGAGAAACTGGGCCTCAGAAGTCCTGGGTAGTATCTGTTCCAAGGGAGGGAATAGGGAGGGCTTTGTTCAGGTTAGAAAGCATGTAACAGGGATCTGCTCCAGTTTGGAAACACATTTTTAGAGGACCATTTATTTATAAATAGTTTGTCAAGAGAAAGGTGATCTGGTGAGTGAGGTCCTTGGAAACCTCTTATATAAGGAGCAATAGAAAGAACTGTGAAGAAAAGAGAACTGTTTTCAGGTATTGGAAGCCTACAACGGAGAAAGTAAGTTTTGGTTTAGGACCAAACTAGGATCAGTGAAGAAAGAAGATAAAAAGTGATGCAGAATTTGGTGCAGTTTAAAGAAAACCTGTAACAATTAGAACTGTCCAGCAGTAGAAATCTGTGCCTCATGAATTATCAAGTTTGCCTGCGTAGGAGTTTTCAGGTACAGAATGAGTATGTCAGAAGCATTCTAGCATTAATTGGTAAGTCATGTTAAATTGTTAGACTGTAATAATTTGGTTTATTTATGCCTCATCTTGTTCTAGAATGGATTTGGGGCACTTTGATAAGGGCATATAAGCTTTGGGAAATCGGCATAAAAGAGGGGGAAAAAACCTCGGAACAGAACAAAGGCCTCTGCTTGTAGTAGACCATGAACTTTTCCTTGATGGGCCTCTTGTGCTAAACATTCTAGCGAGCTTAAAATAGTTCACTGTAGTTGAAGACAGTGTGAGTAATGAAGCCTTTGTTTTCTATTCACATGCTTTTTTATTTTATAAGCACCTTATTAAGAAAAATTCGAAAGCTAAGACCTTGAGGGAGGGCATCCCTTTAGACAAACTCAACATGACCAGTGTGGTCATGACCAATACTGGAGTTGCCAGAGGCAGACAAGAGACAAGGAGATCTGAGAGGCAACAGGGGCTGAAATCTTTGAGACCTTGTTGGCCTTATGATGATTTTGGCTTTTAATCTGTATGACACACAAAGCCTTGAAAGGTGTGAGCAGAGGAATGAGGTGATCTGACTTGTATTTAACAGGCAACAGATGATGGACTGGTGGGACAGCAGTGCTGGAGGTAGCGAACTCTGAATCTCTTAGTTGTAGAGATTTGCTCATGAATTGCGTGCAGAATGTGAAGGAGGAGTTGGGTCCCCAGGTTTTTTTGGTCCGGAAAAAACGGTGGAGTTGCCATTAACTAAGATGAGCAGCTTTGGGGGAAAGATGGGAAGTACAGTTTCAGGCGTGTTAAGCTTGAGATGCCACTGGACATGCTGGTGGCAACGTCAAGTGGGTAGCTTGTTATGTGAGTCTGGAGTTCAGAAGAGAGGTCCAGGCTGCAGATAAATTGGCGGCTGTTGAGTATATAGATGGTACTTAAAGCCACGTGACTGGATGAACTCTCCAAAGAGAGTGAGTACAGTTAGGAAGAAGGCTCCAAGCACCCAGCCCTCCACTTGTTTGTGGCCTTGCTGAGGCATGAATTTGAATTGTGGGCACTGCAAAACTGGTGTGCTAGAATAAACCACTGAGCCATTGAGCCAGCCCAGCCAGTTGCCCAGCAGCAACAACTAGGGAAACTTTCTTCTTTAATTATGACTATGTATGTGTTTTGCAAAGGCGATTGTGTGATATAGTGGCATCTGTGAGTTTGAACTCGCCAACTTCTGGGAACAGATCCCATGTGAACGTGATACAGGACACTCACTGTTTAATGCCTCCTGTGCTGGGTTATAACTCCTAGTGTCTTGCAGAGTTTCCCAGGCTGGATCCCAGAAGCTGAGCAGTCTTTCCTGTTCTTGGGGTGCCCTCCTCTGAAGAGAGTGGGAAATTTTTTAACCAGTTATGTTACAAAGTTATTCCAACACTTCGGAGGTCCACTTGAAAGGATTTCTAAGGAATGCTCCCAGCGCTACTACATCTATATTTAGGTTATTTTAGCCTTTGGTGCTAATGCCTCTATTTTAAGAGACTAGATGACAGTGCTCCCCACCCCCCCGCTCAGTTTTCAATTAATTCTGAACTTGGGAGCTTCAGTAGTGTACTGGGTGCAGAGGATAGCATAAACGAGTGTTCAGTGCTGATGCTGGTCCACTGTGTTGGAATACCCGTTGGCACCTCATAGGATGCTTCAGAATTTGGGTACAGTAGAGGGGAGTCCCAGCTAGCATCCCAAGAGTTCTGAACTAATTAGCAGCTGATAATTATTGACTTTCTCGTAAAAGCAAGGTTATGTATTGAGGTTTTATTCCTAGAACCCCACTTCCTATATTTTTTAATTACCAAAATTGATTACAAAAATAAAGGGGAAGAGTCATATAAAATACATGTTTTTAATACATATTTACTAAATGTGTGAAACTAAACATCTGATATAAAAGCTGTAACATAAATGTACCTTTTTTGGAAGGTTCTGCATGGGCTGGAATTGCTTTTTTGTTTTCCTGGGTTTCTTTTTTTGAAGGGCATAGAATTTGGGCATTAGAAGTAAAATCTATTTTATTTATTAAAAACTGCTTATGATTCCTTTGGAGATTTTATGATTTTCTGGCTACAAAAGTAATAATACCCATTATAGAAAATTTAGGAAAAAAAAAGACTTTAAAAAATTGAAATCATTCATAATTCTGGTACCCAGAAATATCACTGTTTGTGTTTTTATCTTTTTCCTTCATTGTGATTGTGTGTATATTATGAGTGTGTGTGCGAGATGATATTTCAAGTGCTGTCAAGCCAGATCCATGGAGATTGACACGCATGTTAGAAATTAGCATACCCAACTTTTTAAATGCCTTAGCTTTAGATTATCTGCAACTCCTGTTCCCTCGTCTTCAGCTTTTATGAGCCATTTATACATCCTTTTTATGTTCTCTACCATTGTTATCAATATAATTTCATGTAATGAACACCCACATAGATTTTTTACGTGTTTGGCTCTTTCTTGAGACTGCTGGAGTTTTTCCTGGTCTAGATTATTCAAATTCAGTATGGGAACACCTATGTGACAGGAAAGGTGCTGCTTACAGTTTGAAAACATGCTCATCAGGAAGGCCAGTCACAAGTGTGTAAGATTAATTAACTTATGTAGTTTTCTTTCAGAGTACTATATTTAATGAATGCCAATAATGATAGACTGATTCTGTTGTCTGTTTACTCATTTCTTTTCCATCTCCCCCACAACTTGAAAGCTGTGTGAGAGTAGGCGTGTATCTGTTTTAGGCATCCCTGCAGTCCTAGCATCGAGCCCATGGCAGGTATTCAGCAAATGTTGAGTGAATGGATTTCACTTTTTTGGCATATGAAGAAAATGGAAGTAATTATATTTACTATAGATGTTTTCAGTATTCTAATGTATCAGCTGACAAATATATATAATATTTAAAATTTAAAAGGAAAAATACTCTTAAACATCTTTTGTATTGTATATTGTGGTTTAATTTTTCCCTTCAGCTTCCCCTCAGCAGTATGTGTCTCATCAAAAGAAATACCTTTGAAAGAACATAGGTTACTTTTAGTCTAATCTCTTGTCATTCCACTGGTCTTTCTGTGAAAGCTAAACATAAATGGCATTTTAAAACAAGAGTATGCCCTGCTTAAAATGGGTCAAGTGAAGCTCAAATTACATCACTAACTATGCTCAATCATTTAAAAATATGCTAGTTAATTCCAGGCTTCTAACATGATTCCTGGTTTTGCTAACTAGCCCTGTCATTTGACTAGTAAATTTTTAATGCTGAAGCTAAAAGTTGATAGGTTTAGACAGACTTCATTTGGCCAGTAGATGGCCTGTTGAGATCTCAGGAATTGTAAGATTCTGAAACAGTTTTTGGAGCAAAGTTAATTTAAATTTAGTTTTAAGCTTACACCACAGTGCTTTTTTTTTTTTTTCAAATCGAGGTATATTTGATGTACAATATTATATAAGTTACAAGTGTACAACATAGTGATTCACAATTTTTAAAGATTATACTCCATTTATAGTTATTATAAAATATTGGCTATATTCCCTCTACTGTACAGTATATCCTTGTAGCTTATTTCTTTAATACATAGTGGATTGTACCTCTTAATTTCCAGCCCTATATCGCCCCTCCCCCCTTCTCTCACCCTACTGGTAACCACTGGTTTGTTCTCTGTATCTGTGAGTCTGTTTCTTTTTTATTATATTCACTAGTTTTTTTTTATTTTTTAGGTTTTGCATATAAGTGACAATATACAGTATTTGTCTTTCTCTGTCTGACTTTTCACTAAACATAATATCCTCCAAGTCCATCCATGTTGTTGCAGGTGGCAAAATTTCACTCTTTTTTATGGCTGACTAGTATACCATTTTGTGTGTGTGTGTGTGTGTGTGTGTGTGTGTGTGTGTGTGTGTGTGTATACACGTCCACGCCCCACATCTTCTTTATCTGTTTCTCTGTTGATGGACACTTAGATTGCTTTCATATTTTGGTAATTGTAAATAATGCTGCTATGAACATTGGGGTGCATGTATATTTTTGAATTAGTGTTTTCGTTTTCTTCAGACATATATGCAGGAGCGGGGTTGAGCCACAGTGCACTTTTTCAGAGAGTGGAGGGAAAGTCAAATCAAATAGGATATCCTGAGCTGACTCCAGAAAGATATTTGACAGTCATTGTTATATGGTAGTTTTCTGATGGCCATAATTTCCACAGTTTCCTGTGCTAAAGGTGTGGCTATAAAGACCAAAAAGCATACATACTTTTTCTTTTGGTAATTTTATGGTAACCATATTTTCATAGGTTTAACGTGTAGCCCTAAAGAACCAGAAACCCAAAGGAACCAGTACTCCTGCTACACAGAGCCCCATTTTAGTGACACTGTTTCTGGAGTACCTATATGATGACCAAGGTACTGGGCATGGCCACAGTTCTGGGCCCTAGAACTCCACAAGAGCAGGGGCCTGTGATTGTGAAGGTCGAGGAGGAGGAGAAAGGGAAGCGCCTTCCCAGCTTGGAGACGTTCCGCCAGCGCTTCAGGCAGTTTGGGTACCATGACACCCCTGGCCCTCGGGAGGCCCTCAGCCAGCTCCGGGTGCTCTGCTGTGAGTGGCTGCGGCCTGAGATTCACACCAAGGAGCAGATCCTGGAGCTGCTGGTGCTGGAGCAGTTCCTGACCATCCTGCCCCAGGAGCTCCAGGCCTGGGTGCAAGAGCACTGCCCGGAGAGCGCTGAAGAGGCCGTCACTCTCCTGGAAGATCTGGAGCGAGAGCTGGATGAGCCAGCACAGCAGGTAGGCTGGGGAGACCTTTTACTCTGTGAGGTCGGAAGCGTAGCAGTCCAGGCAGGAGCGGGTTTGTTCACACACTGAGAATAACTGAATGGACCCTCCGCTGAGTTAGACCATGTTTCCTCCTATTTTTCTTCTGCTATCCTATATGGAATTAGGGAATTACCCTTGGGAGTTGAATGGGATGGATGCTTTTCTTTTTCCTAGAGGTTCTACATAGCTGTCCTGAGGTTTTCTTTTGTTCTGGTTCTTAAAGTGAGCTGTGCACAGACCCAGCCGTTCCTAATTGTCTCTAGGCCTCACCGCCTCCCAGTGAACAGAAACAATGGTGGGAGAAGATGGCATCCTCAGGAACAGTGGAGGAATCCCTGAGCAGCCCGCAGCCACGGTCTGTGGAGACCAGTTACAAATACGAGTCTTGGGGGCCCCTCTACATCCAAGAGACTGGTGAAGAGGAGGACTTCACTCCAGAGCTGAGAAAGATTCAAGGTAGGATCATCTGTCAGGCCCCCACTCGGTGCCTGGGCCTTTGTGGTTGAAGAAACACTCGTCCTAATTCCTGGTTGTGAGGTGGCCCCCTAGGCTGACTCAACTGGTCTGGCTGACGAGGCAGAATGAGTTCCTTCCCTCCCTCAGGTGTGTCTCAGTCAGTCCTGGCGTGAGAACAGATGACATGCTCATAAAGGGAGAGTTGAAGTGAGTTTAGTAAGGGGACTGTTCATGGAAGCGAGGACAGCTTGAATGAATCAGTAAGAGGTGGCGCTGGTTCATTAGTTAATGACTTAGTGAACCTGCTGTGATCAGTTTGGGATTATGTAGAAATGGTCCTGGTAATTTCTTTTTCAACTTACACCTCATTAAGCTATTTTAAATGTTTAACTTTTTTAAGTTATTTACTTCCCACACATAGTTCATGGCAACTTGAAGGGAAATCTGTACATGTAGCCAAGTGACTGCTCATCATAGGGACTGAGAGGGATTTTAGCTGCTGCTTCAGTCAGCAGTGGACAGTGAGGAGGGGGTGAGCCTAGAAGCAGCTGGTAGCAGAGGAGGGAAATAGATGGTGGGTGGAGAGAGAGACAGGGACGAGGAGAAAGTGGCTTAGAGGAAAGTACCTTGTTGACTGAGGCTTCTGGACTTGGCGGAGGGATGACACTTCTCAAAGGGAGCCCATTTTTCAGTGTGAATTTCTCTTACTCCCCTTTTCTGTGTATGTGGATGGTTAGGTGGATTTTTTTTTTTTTTTTTTTTTGCGGTACGCGGGCCTCTCACTGTTGTGGCCTCTCCCGTTGCAGAGCAGAGGCTCCGGACGCGCAGGCTCAGCGGCCATGGCTCACAGGCCCAGCCGCTCCGCGGCATGTGGGATCTTCCGGGACCGGGGCACGAACCCATGTCCCCTGCATCAGCAGGCGGACTCTCAACCACTGTGCCACCAGGGAAGCCCTAGGTGGACTTTTTTTTTTTGTGTGTGGTATGCGGGCCTCTCACTGTTGTGGCCTCTCCCGTTGCGGAGCACAGGCTCCGGATGCGCAGGCTCAGCGACCATGGCTCACGGGCCCAGCCGCTCTGCGGCATGTGGGATCTTCCCCGACCGGGGCACGAACCCGTGTCCCCTGCATCGGCAGGCGGACTCTCAACCACTGCGCCACCAGGGAAGCCCCCTAGGTGGACTTTTAAGAGGTGTGACTGCCTCGTGAAGTGCTCTAAAAAAGCTAAACTGCTTCAGTCTGATTTTGACAGTTACTTTATAACTAAGAGAATGATAAGACATAGCCAATGTAGGTGAAATGATGAGAGTTAAACGCTCATGAGAGTTAAGTACTGTCATTCAAATTAGTAAGGATCTGGGACTAGAATGATTATAAGTGGACCAAACGTTCTCTTTTATTGCTTTTATATTCAGCTTTTGTGAGAAAAAGGATTTTGTGAGTTTGCCACTAGCCTCTTCTCCCTTAATTATCCTTTTTATTTTCCTTTATCAACTTTGACCCTTTCATAATCTTTCTTTCTTGTTTCTTTCTACCTGAGCATCACCCAGCTCCTTTGCTGCTGTCTCAGTATGCTTGGTTTTGCCTAATTGCCCTCTATCCCCGAAGTTCTCCTGGCAGAGAACACCATGTACTTCTCATACCATGATAGCTTCTGGCAGGGGGCTTGCGTGAAAGTCTGGCATCGTAAACTAGATCTGATAATGACTTATTTGTATCAGTGTGATACTGTAACTTCATAGAGCAATATTTGGTTACCCCTTAGAATCCATTAGTGTCACCTAGTGATTCTATTTCTCATTTAACAGTTTCTTCTCAGGACAGGAAACAACTGACATGTCCTTATTCTACTTACTGTTTCAGATCGTAAGTCGAACACCCAGAATGAGGAATCAACAGATAAGCAGGAAAGTTCTGAAGAATTTCACGCAGAAGGATTCAGAAGGGATTCTATTCCCATGATTATTGCCAACAAATGTGAGGCCAGGTTAGAAAGGCAGTGGGTTAACCTGGAAAAGGGAAGAGGAACAAAAATTCCTCTCCAAGACAAAGGTCCCTCAAAAGGTAGAGAAGTAATGACTAAACCTGCACCAGCAGAGAGACGTTATATATGTGCTGAGTGTGGGAAAGCCTTTAGTAATAGCTCAAATCTCACTAAACATCGGAGAACACACACTGGGGAGAAACCGTATGTGTGCACCAAATGTGGGAAAGCTTTTAGCCACAGCTCCAACCTGACCCTTCACTACAGAACACACTTGGTGGACCGGCCCTATGACTGTAAGTGTGGAAAAGCCTTCGGTCAGAGCTCGGACCTCCTTAAACATCAGCGAATGCACGCTGAAGAGGCTCCTTACCAGTGTAAAGATTGCGGCAAAGCCTTCAGCGGGAAAGGCAGCCTCATTCGACACTATCGAATACACACTGGGGAGAAGCCATATCAGTGTAACGAGTGTGGGAAGAGCTTTAGTCAGCACGCTGGTCTTAGTTCTCACCAGAGACTCCACACTGGAGAGAAGCCGTATAAATGTAAGGAGTGTGGGAAAGCCTTCAACCACAGCTCCAATTTTAATAAACACCATAGAATCCATACCGGGGAAAAGCCCTATTGGTGTAATAATTGTGGGAAAACCTTCTGTAGTAAGTCCAATCTTTCCAAACATCAGAGAGTCCACACTGCAGAGGGAGAAGGGCCTTAACTGTCAGGTATGCTCTCTTGATGGTTTTTGTTTTTTTAACTTCAGAACGTGAATGCTAGGGAGAAAGCCCAGTAATTGCAGTGTAAACTCTGGGGTAGATTTCGTTTTACTCGACGTCGAGGGGACAGTGAGAGCTCAGGCGGGGACACAGAGGGTTCCTCACCTGCCCGCTGGCTGCAGCAGGGTCCCCTCACCGCACTTCAAGTCCCATAAACCATGCGGACGTTGCCTTTTGTATAGTTAAAGTACTGTGTATCCGGTATAATTAAGGAGGAAACATTAAAACTGTTTAACTGTTTTAACATATATTCAAGAATTATGATTTGTAAAGAAATGAGCCATGTTGAACACAGTTTAATCCGATTCAGAATAAACTTAAAACATCTTGTGATGCCTCAGGACTATTTTATTAAAAAATTGTATGTTATTCAACACTATTCTAGAGAGGAAACTTCCTACTGGTTTTGCTTTTGGAAAATTTGGATTTGGGGTAAATAGAACTTTCAGTGATTGTGAGTGTGTGTGTGAGGAAATTGCGGCAGGGTGTGCAGATAGCTGCAGCTTAGTCTTCATCGTGCTTTTCCTGCGTACAGAACACGTTTTTCCAGCATTTGGGAACATTTTGTCAGCCTCATGCTTTTTGGGCGTGTATACTCTTGTCTCTGCCGAAGTCTGAAAATCTGACTCCCTGAGAAGCTTCCTACTAAATTCCAGAAGCCAATAATACACAGTATGATTACCTTAAATCCATCCTGTTTTTTTCCCTCTGACTGCAAACTCTTTGATTTAAGGTATGGCTTTTGGCCAGTTGGTCCTCCTGTTACCTGGAAACCCAATGACTTCACTCTTTGCTCCTATCATTTGCTTATCTTCATATTGTGAGTTTTTTCCACCTCTTATTAGTAGTCACTGAAATATCTCTTTGTCTGCTGCTGCAGCCCTAGTGGTCACGCAAACCTGACATGCCAGGATTGGGGACAGCAAGAAAGTGTCATGTCTAGTACCGCTTCTGATCGCTGGAAACTGCCTCGTATGCCATCCTGGGATCAGATTAAACTACAGGTAATGAGTCTATGCAGCAGCCAAATATATTAGGGCGGCGGGAGGGGGGGGTCATTACTGAAAAAGAATCAATAGTGCTTGAAATCTGAAGGGTTCTTACTGTTCTGGTGGCCTGCTGACGATCTGGACATCCCTGCCAGCTCCTTTGGACATTTTGTGTGAGCCATCCTGTTTGTATATTAACCCTCCCGGAAGCCCGCAGAGAATTTAGTGATTAGGTGGCAGCTGGCTATCTGTAGGGCCCCCTCCGAAACTGCTCCAGATGAAGGCTGAGGAGCCTGCTGAGCCCTCGTCCTCCTCTGGTGAGAGCGGACTGGGCCCCCCATCTGTCCTGCCACTCACCTTCCTGACTCTCTGCAGTGGTAGTTTCTGATGGGTGCTGCTGTGACGCAAAGGTCCACACACTTCCTTTCAGCTCCCATCGGTCCATCTGCGAGCTGAAATCTTCCTCTGATCTCCTTGTCTCCAGACTTTCAGCCTTATTCTTTGCAGACCCCTTGTCTAGACAAGTCACAGCCCAGGAGGCCACTTCTCCCTCCATGAAAAGTTGGTTCCAGGTAGACTGCTCACAGCTCTGCTGCCCACCAGATTCCCCTCATTCTGTCCTTTAGGGCCATTCCTGAGCAAGGCCGTGTGAATCAGCACATTTTTGGTTCACACACCAAAATATTGAGCTGATCCCTCTGTGAAACACAAACCCTACTTGTTCCTTCCACCAAGTCAAAGGGGAATGAGTCCACAGGTGTGAGCAGAGGGAGGCATCAGGTCAACAAAGGTAGGAGACGTGAGGCCTGAGCCTCCTGCTTACACACCTGGGGACTTCTGGACCTGCTCAGGTCGCCTGAGTGACTAAACTCATAAATCATAGTATCGCAGTCTGTATATATTGGGGGGGGGGACGGATTTTGAGGAGAATGCGCATTATCTTGAGAGGCACCTGTCTCAGGTGAGATTTTTGCATGGTTTCCAAGCAAAAAGAGGCTCCTTTCCTGTATCAAGGGGGAAGGGAAGTGCTTTTGTTAGGCCAGAGGGCTTGGGAATTTAGGGTTCCAGGTGCTCAGGCACACCTACCCAAGTGTCACATACATCAGGATCCCAGTCTTTCCCGATCAGGGCCTGGAATTTTGGCATCAGTGACTTGGTGAGGCTTTTCATTTAGCCACCTTTGCAGTTCTGCCACCCTGACAGTTAAATCCTGCGCCTGATTTTCAGGCCAGTCTACTCTCAGTACACAAGGTGCGGTTCTCCTCAAACGCTGCCATGGATGACTTCTGGCTGTCACAACAGGCCCTGAACTGATAGTTGGCTGACGCAAGTCTATCATTTTCTTTCTTCAAAGCTTGAGAGAGAGAAACTCTGCAGCCCTTATAACTGCCACTATCCCAGTAATGCTTGGGTTATATAGAACTATTGCATAAGCTGATGCTTTCCCTGGTACCTGTACCTCATCTCTTGCCAGAACTAGTAGGAGCAGTAGCAGCTGCCATGGGGTAGAATGCCAGGGGTTACCACCATTACATTTATCACCAGGCTCCTTTTTTTACCATCTGACCAGCAAATGACGTGCTCCAGAGTCCCATCCTGAGGGCTCCATTTCTAGGGCACTTCCAGTACCAACTGTCATAGTTTGGATTTCCTCTAAAACAGAGCCCAGGACCAGGGCATGGGGGCAGATAGGTTACTTAGGGAGATGACCAGAGGAAGCAAGGAGAGAGAGAGGAGGAATAGCCAGTAAGAGATGCATTATTGAGCTGGTTCTTCTGTAGGCAGCCAGTGCTCAGGTCTGCTGGGGACCTTCAGAGACATGAGATCACAAATGGGGGAAGCTGGTATACCTGACCTCTGCTCAGTCCCAGTGTCCCCCTCCCATGGTTAGGAGGCCAGTTCCTGCTTGGCTCCAAGAGAGTGGTTGAGGACCCCTGGTGGGCTGGGAAGGACACTGTCCCAGGGGGCTGCAAGGCTGGCTTGGTCTGAAGATGCTTGTGAGTGTTGCCCCATATGTCACACACGGACACACATTTAGACACACACAGATACACATGTACACTGGACCCCTGGCTAGGGCTGCCAGATTTAGCAAATAAAAGCACATTTAGATTCCAGGTAAACAGTATGTTTGGGACATACTTCTCATGCTAAAAAAATTATTCAATGTTTATCTGAAATTCAGATGTAACTGGGCATCTTATCCAGCAATCCTACCCCCAGTATATGTGAACAGCGATGCTTCCACCTCTCTGTCTAACCTAATACAGATAACAAAAGCATAAAGAACCAAAGGAAAAATAAGAGAAACTGGACATCATCAAAGTACTTCAAAGGACACCATCAAGAAAGTGAAAGGACAACCCACAGAATGGTAGAACATTTTTGCAAATCACATATATATGATAAGGCACTTTTATGTTGAATATATTTTACAACTGAGTAATAAAAGAAACAACCAAGGGCTTCCGTGGTGGCACAGTGGTTAAGGGTCCGCCTACTGATGCAGGGGACATGGGTTCGTGCCCCGGTCTGGGAAGATCCCACATGCCACGGAGCGACTGGGCCCGTGAGCCATGGCCGCTGAGCCTGCGCGTCCGGAGAACTGTGCTCCGCAATGGGAGAGGCCACAACAGTGAGAGGCCCGCGTACCACAAAAAAAAAAAAAAGACAACCAATTAAAAGGCAAAGGATCTAAATAGACATTTCTCCACAAAAGATACAAAAACAGACAAGTACATGGAAAGGTGCTCAACACAGCTATGAGGGAAATGCAGATCAGAGCCACAATGAGACCACGCCATACCCACTAGGATGGCTATAATAAAAAAGATAATATCAAGTATTGAGGATGCAGAGAAATCAGAAGCTTATATACTGCTGGTGAGAATGTAAAATGGGACAACCACTTTGGAAGACAGCCTGGCATTTCCTCAAAAGTTTAAATAGAGCATTTGAGAAATTGCTACCCTAGATATATACCCAAGAGAAATAAAAACATTTACACAAAAACTTGTATACAGGGCTTCCCTGGTGGCGTAGTGGTTGAGAGTCTGCCTGCTGATGCGGGGGACACAGGTTCGTGCCCTGGTCCAGGAAGATCCCACATGCTGCGGAGCAGCTAGGCCCTGTGAGCCATGGCTGCTGAGCCTGCGCGTCTGGAGCCTGTGCTCCACAAGGGGAGAGGCCACAACAGTGAGAGGCCCGCATACCGCAAAAAACAAACAAAAACTTGTATACAAATGTTCAAAGCAACATTATTTATAATAGCCAAAAAGAAGAAAAAACCCAAATATTTCCATCAGTGGATGAAAGAAAAAACAAAATGTGGTATATGCATACAATGGAATATTATTTAGCCATAAAAAGGATGAAGTGCAGATTCACATTACAACATACATAGATGAAACTTGATGTCATTGTATTAAGCAAAAGAAGCTAAACACGAAAGGCCGCATATATGATTATGAGTCCAGTTATGTGAAATGTCCGCAACAGGCAAATCCATGGAGACAGAAAGTAGACCGGCAGTTGTCTAGGGCTGGGGCAGCTGGGGGGAAGTGGGGAGTGACTGCTAAAGGGTATAGGGTTTCTTTTTAGGGTGATGAAATGTTCTCAAATCGTGACGGTTACACAACTCAATACTAAAAACCACTCGATATGGTGTATGGATTATTTATCAATAAAGTTTTGTAAAAACACACACAAACTCAAGCAAACAAATACAGAGCCTTTGCCGAAGGGCCAGCCTTGGTGGAGCGGTGGAGGATTCATGCTGAGGAGACCCATGGATGTTCACACAGGCTGCTGCTAAGCAGAAGATGCACTGGGGAGTCATATGTGAAAAGACATGAAAAGATTCATGCCAGCAGTTACCCTTGCATGTAATAACCGTAGGGAGATTTTCCATCAGTTTCAACTGGATTGAGGATCAAGAATTCTGTGTGAGGGCCTCCCTGGTGGTGCAGTGGTTGAGGATCTGCCTGCCCATGCAGGGGACACGGGTTCGAGCCCTGGTCCGGGAGGATCCCACATGCCGCGGAGCAACTAAGCCCGTGTGCCACAACTACCGAGCCTGTGCTCTAGAGCCCGCGAGCCACAGATACTGAAGCCCACGTGCCTAGAGCCTGTACTCCACAACAACAGAAGCCACCGCAATGAGAGGCCCGCACACGGCAACGAAGAGTAGCCCCCACTCAGCAGCGAGGACCCAGCGCAGCCCAAAATAAATAAATATATAAAATTATTTTGAAAAAGTGCTTCCCTGGTGGCGCAGTGGTTGAGAGTCTGCTTGCCGATGCAGGGGACGCAGGTTCGTGCCCCAGTCCGGGAGGATCCCACA